ATGTCTATTTATTAATATCTTATACTACTTTTAACTAATAATGAAATTATTATTATTGCTGATATTCATTAAATGTTTACTATGTGCCATGTATTTAAATGCTTTAAAAATATCATTTCATTTAGTCCTCATGACAAACCAGTGAGAGTAGTAGTATTCTCATCCCCTTTTTGTAGATATGGGATGGGAGGCTTAGAGAGTTATCTCCCAAGGTTATTCATTTCATCAGTGGTGAAGCTGTGATTCAAACTAGTGTGGGTAACTTCTATATTATATTTAATTCTCCTATCAATTCTGGGAATTTTTCAATGGATTTTCTTGAATGTAGGTATTTAATCACATTGGCCACAAGTAATTTTATTTTTATATCTTTCTGTCTAATAGTTGCTGTTCTTACTTCAGCTTTGTGTCTTTTTACTGATAGGGGCAGCCTTGCAAAAATAACAGGAAAATACCTAATCCCACATAGGAAAAATACCTAATCCTACAGTTTCCCCAGTAATGGTTAAAGATCAATCCTATGAGTTGTCTAAGTAACAGGGACCCTGCAGGAGTTCTGTTTTGCACAATTTCTGAAAAAGCTGAAAAACGGGAAAGAGATATTAATCTCTCTTCAATTTTTTTTTTTTTTTTTTTGAGAATCTGCTTTTGCAGAGTTCCTGAGTAAACAGCAGGAGAATGAGCTGCAGCCTCAACCATATCTTGAGGACAGAGTCCCATCTCCTGTGATAGTCCTTTCTCCAAGGAAGAACAGGAAACCGACTTTTGGACTTTGACATCCTTGCAGTTTTTGTTATCTACCTGCTACTGCTTTTGCTATCAACTGCCATCACTTTTTTCTTCTCTTCCTCCCCCTTAAAATCAGGGAGCCACTTGGTCTCTGCTGGCACCTCCTTCTCTTTCTTTGGGTTGCCATGCCATCTCTCTGCTCTCTTCCCCCTTCCCTTCTCTCTCTCTCTCATTCTCTCTATCCTCCTGAGAAGTTAAATGTTTTTACTTTTATATCTTAATCTCTGAGTGAGAAATCGTTCTCCACCCACACCATGAACACCTACCAAGCCTTTCCACCCTAACAATTACATTGGCCAGAGATAGCAGAACAGTGTTAAAATGAAACAATGAAAGTGGACATTCTTGTTTTGTTAATGACTTAATGGAAAAACCATTATTGTTGATTTAGATTTATAAGATTATGTTAAGGAAGTATCCTTCCATTCCCAGGTTTTCTGAGTCCTTAAAAAAATCAGGAATAGGTATTGGATTTTATGAAATGTCATTTTGGCATCTATTGAATTTATTATATGGACACAAGTGGTTTTGATCCATATTCATAATTGAGAAAAGAAATAACTATAAATGTGGCTCAATTGGTGCTTTTCTTTTCCCAGCAATATCTGGAGCTTGTTTTCAAAGTGACATGTAGGTGGTAGAAGCAGAAATTGTTTTTTAAAGAATTACGGGCTTTACATTTTTCCCTGTCCAGATTTTGAGTCTGTACTAGGTAAAAGAAAAGATTATATGTAGGGGGTATTTTTAAAGGATTTTCTTTAGAACAACTTGTAAAAGGTATCATTTGGTTATAATTCAAGATTTTATTATACTTAATTAGTTTAGATTCATGTTGACAAAATTGTAAACCAAATAGGTAAGGATTAACTCTAATTACATGGTGTACAAATCTTTAAATATTGTTGGCATTCATTAAATTATTATTAGTTATAATAGTTATAGCCCTCAAGGATAGTATATGCATTAGAAATGTTAAAACTTTTGATTGCTTTCATATATGACACATATTGACTATGGGAAGAGAATCTGTTATTCTTTTTTTATGTTGGTAAAAACCAGCAGAAGGATTATGATTTGATGTTGACTGGTATTTCATATTGAATAGTTTTAACTAAGAATTGGTTTAGGGAAATGGTACTTTTTCATATATTTGTCACTGAACTTTTAAGGAATGAAGGTCATCAAATCTATAGAAGGAAAGGCCAGACTGAGCTTATTTCCTTTAAAGAAGAAAAAAAATATTTTAATTTTTTTCTTAATAAGACTGAGTATATATATATACTGAATATATATATATAATAATAAGAGTTTTAGTAACTGGAAGTGATGGAATTGATTTGATGTGGCAGTTTGTCGATGGGAAAGAAAGAGAAAACAGAGCATGGGTGAAGGCAATGATTGGGAAAACAAAATGATTTCCTGTTTATACGTCACAGTTAGGATTATTCAGCAAACCAGTTATAAGTATAGAAATAATACTATATATGTGTGTATATATATTGTATAACATAGTTATATTTTCACATGTAGTAAAAATGTAGTGGTTAAGAGTTTGGGCTCAGAGCCAGCTTGTCTGGATTGAGTTCCATCTCTTCCACTTACATGCTGTGCCCCATTTTCCTCATGTATAAAATGGGTATAATAACCATATTGACCTCATACGGTAGTTGTGATCATTACATGAATATATATTTGAAAAGACTTTATTACAGTGCCTGGTACACAGTAAGCATTCAGTAACTGGGAGCTCTCATCATCAGCATTGTCAACATGATGCCACGCAGAAGGTGTGGTTTGGGGCTCAACTTGGACAGGGGTTGCTGCATTTTGAAAGATGAGAAATTATCCAAAGAGGAGAAAGAAAAGGCAGTCCAGTAGGAATGATAAAGATAGAGATGGCAAATCATAGAGTGCTGGGGTGAAAGAGGAAATCTTTCTCCATGTGGGGCAGATGTGAGGTTGAGAGGTGACATTTTAGATTGGAAGAGTCTTCAACTATGTTTCATTGTGTTCCAGAGTCGGAAGAGAGGATCATGCTGGAGTATATAGGCAAGAGAAGCCACCAGGCCTCTGAGGATTTAGAAGGGAGCTGGGTGGGACATCCCCATAGGCGTCCTCACATGCATATCTGTGTCCTCAACTTCTTTTCCTCTTTCCTTCTAGCATCTGGGTTTCTAAGCCAGGCATGCTTCAAAAGCTATGCTGCCTTTCATGAATACTGCAATTGTGTCATAAATTCCTCCTCCATCTAAAAAACAGAATCCCCTGGTTCTGACCACGTGTTCCACATTCACTTTATTTCTCAGAGTCTATAACAGAAAATAATCTACAATTCTGTTAGATGATGTCATGAACCAGCTAGAGTTTTTTGTGTTTTTTTTTCTAAAAGTTGCTTGATATTTCGGTGTGTAGAGTCAGGAAAAGAAAAGATTTCTTTTGGAGCAAGATTTGTCTTCAGGAATGACTACCAAATTGAAATGGATTGCTAGATTCTTAAGAAAGTTAAGTATTTAGGCTTTACTGCCTACATAATGAATCTGAGATAAAGTTTCTCAAGATGCTCTGCATTTCTAGTTTCTAAATATAAGTTGAAATAATTAAGTTATTCTTAAATCTCAAACCAAATCCAAATGAGAAAAATAACCTCTGCTGGACCACATTGAAGATAGACATTATTACTGCTAAATTCAACTTCCTATAAAACATAGTAAACTATCACCAAGAAAATTGGGGTACACAATAATTTAGAAAATATTGTTTTAATTACAAAATACTATGACTTACTCTAGAAAAAATTTTTCAAGTTTAGTTCTTAACTGTAATCTCTCAGCATAACTGGATCATGAAAAAAATGTATCCTATCTACATCTGTTAACATCATACCTTCTAAACTTGACCACTCCAAATATTTAAAAAGATAAAAACTGTTTGCAGAGAACTTCTGATGAATGGCCTTTGTAGCAATTCAGCATTAATGAGTTGAAGAGTATGTCATCATTCTCTGGGTTATTTATCTGTTACGGCAATAATACCGTGTATTAAACAACCACAATATCTCAGTGGCATGTAATAAACATTTCTTTTTGCTAACAAGTCAACAGATTACCTGAAAACTTCTACTGATCTTGGCGGGCTTGATTTGGCAGTTTTTGCGGCCTTGGCTAGAGTTCACTCATGTGTCTGGAGGTCTGCTGGCTGGTGGCTAATCTAGGACAGCCTTGACGAGGATGACTCAGTTCCGCTCCACATGATCCTGGATCTATCTATAGGCTAGCCTGCGCTTTGTGTTAGTGGTACCATTCTAAAAAAGAGAGCATGGAAGCATACAAGGCCTCCTGAGACTTGGGCTTGGAACTGGTACACATCACTTTCATCACATTCTTTACATCAATACAAGGCACCAACCCTGCCCAGTTTGAAGGGATGGGGAGACAGACTCTTGATGGGAGTCAAAATCACATAAAAAAAATCATGGATAGAAACTGGGATAGAGAATTGGGGTCATTTTTGCAATCAGTCTACCACATCTTCTTTCATCTTTCTCCCCCTTAATTGTCCAGATTTCTGTTCTTGGGCTGTTACATGAGCAATCTAGCAACAAGGACCCTGGTCTTAGCACCCTAAGAGAGAGGTTCTTTGGGTATTTCTGCCTATGGTTTGTCATTTAACTTTATCTGCTTTGTTACCAAGAAAAAAATCATGTCAGTAAATTTATTTTTGTGTAAAGAAGAGAAATCAATTATAGCTAAGTAAAATCCTCTGAAGTGTTTAACAGGAAAAAATTGAATATTGCAGTCTAATTTTCTGTAGATCCTGAATAGAAGCAGATGTTTGAACCCAATACAATGCATTATTATGTTTTCAGCCCTATTTGTAAAAACCTGAGATGTAAGAGTGGGCAAAAGATTTAGAGCTAGAGCTTTGAGCATCAGAATACCTTGATTAACTAGTTTTCTCTGTGCTTCTCCCTTCCTCCCCTCCCCATTGATTAGGGACTCACTACTGTGGTAAAATGTCTGCCCAGAAGGGATGATGGTGTTCCATGTAAATGTACCTACTGGTCTCAGAATCAGTTAATCCTCTCATGGTTATATGTGGGATATATTGGTATTCATAACATTTAGCACAGTGCCTCATGTGGGCTAGGTATTCTGGAAGATATTTATTAAATTTTAGTATTGGAATGTTGATTTCTGTCTTTTGTTTTCCAGAATTAGTTCAACGACTTCTTGCAAGTCAAAAGTGCATCAAGGAGAGACAGGATTATGTGGAGTTGGTAGGTGTCCCAGACTCCTATTCAGGTCCCCGGCTGCAGTTTCCTCTCACTTTTGTTGATATTGACTGTCTTCTTGAGGCCTTCATGCAACATCAGGCAAGTAGAAGCAGATGCTGCCTTGATTCTTATACGTAACAGGTGCCCAATGACTCTTGAATGAATGAATGGAAATACTACAGCAGAAATGTATTTTAAAAAAAAAAAAAAAAAACAGTTCACATTAAGTGAGAGCTACCCTCTCTGTCCATTAAGTAGAAATCCCCTCAGGTACACAGCAAGCTCTTCTTGATAGACTTATAGAATTTCTTTTTCTCTTTCTGAGATAATTCACATACCATAAAATTCATGATTTAAAAATGTACAATTCAGTGAATTTTAGTACATTTATAAGATTGTTCAACCATCACCAACATCTAATTCCAGAGCATTTTTGTCACCCCCCAAACAAAGGCCATACTCATTACCATTCTCTCCTTCCCACCCCTGGCAACCACCATTCCACTTTCTGTCTCTATGGATTTGCCTATTCTGGATATTTCATATAAATGAAATCATAATATTTGGCTATTTGTGTTTGGCTTCTTTTACTTAACATAGTGTTTTTAAGCTTCATCCATAACATATAGTATTACTTCATTTCTTTTTATGGCTGGTAATATTCCATCGTATACCACATTTTGTTTATCTGTTTATCAATGAAAGGGCATTTGGGTTGTTTCCATCTTTTGGCTATAGTAAATAATTCTGCTATGAATATTCATGTACAAATTTTTTATGAACATGTGTTCTCAATTATCTTGGATGGCATATACCTAGGAGTATTCCACTGGGTCATATGTTAACTCTATGCTGTGTCATATGGTAACTCTATATTTAAATTTTCCAGTAACTGCTAAAATGTTTTCCACAGTGGTTGCACCAGTTTATATTTCTACCAGCAATATATGAGAGTTCCAGTTTCTCCATGTTTTTACCAACATTTGTTATTTTGTTTTTATTTTTATTATCACCATCCTAGTGTGTATGAAATGATATTTCATTGTGGTTTTGATTTGCATTTCCATCATGACTAATGATGTTGAGCATCTTTCCATGTATTTATTGGCCATTTATATACATTCCTTGCAGAAATGTCTATGCAGAATATTTGCCCATTTAAAACCAGGTTGTCTTTTTATTATTGAGTTATAAGAGTTCTTTCTGGATATAAATTTCTTATCAGATATATGATTTGCAAATATTTTCTTCCATTCTGTAGGTTGTCTTTTCAATTTCTTGATAATTTACTTTGATGCACAAAAGCTTTAAATTTTGATGAAGTCCAATTTATCCGTTTTTTTCTTTGGTTGCTTGTGCTTTTGTTGTCATATCTAAGAATCCATTGCTAAATCCAAAGTCATAAAGATTTACTCCTATGTTTTTTTCAAAGAGTTTTATAGTTTTAGCTTTTGCATTTAAGTTTATCGGCCATTTTAAGTTAATTTCTATATATGGTGTTAGGGAGGGGTCAAAATTCACTTTTTTCATATAGATATGCAGTTGTCCCAGTACCATTTGTTGAAGAGAGTGTTCTTTCCCCATTGAATGATCTTGACGCCCTTGTTAAAAATCTTTAGGCTGTAGATGTATGGGTTTGTTTCTGGATTCTCAGTTCTATTCCATTGGTCTATGTGTCTGTCTTTATGCCAGTACCACACTGATTACTGTAGTTTTCTAGTAAACTTTAAAACAGGAAATTTTGATTCCTTAACTTTTTTTTTTATTATGGTTTTGGCTATTTGGGGCCCCTTGTAATGAATTTGAGGATCACATTTTCCATTTCTTCAAAAAAGCCTGTTGGGATTTTGATAGGTATTGCATTGAATCTTTAGATCACTTTGGGTAGTATTGCCATCTTGATAATATTAAGTCTTCCAAACCATGGTGTCTTTCCATTTATTTATTTATTCTTTAATTTCTTTAAGCAAGGTTTTATAGTTTTCAGTAGTCAAGTCTTTCACTACCTCAGTTAAATTTATTCATAGGTATTTTATTCTTTTGGTTGCTATTGTAAAAGGAATCATTTTCTTAATTCATTTTTGGATTGTGTTGATTTCGTACTCCACAACTTTGCTAAATATATTTATTAGCACCAGTAGTTCATGTATGTGTGTATGTATATTCTTTGGGATACTCTATGAATAGGATCATGTCATCTGTGAATAGAGATAGTTTTGCTTTCCCCTTTCTGATTTAGACACTTTTTATTTCTTTTTCTTGCCTTATTGTTCTGGCTTGAACGTCTAGGACAATATTAGATGAATAGCAATGGTGAAAGTGGGCATGTTTATTTTATTCCTGATCTTAGAGAGGAACCTTTCAGTTTTTCACCATTAAGTTTGATGTTAGTTGTGGAGTTTTCATAAATGCCCTTCATCGTGTTAAGGAAGTTTCCTTCTATTCTTAGTTTTCTGAGTGATTTTATCATGAAAGAGTATTGGATTTTCTCAAATGCTTTTTCTGCATCAGTTGAGATGATGTGTTTTTTCCCCTTGATTCTATTAATGTGATGTAATACATTGATTAATTTTCGTGTGATGAACCGCTCTTATATTTCTTGGATAAATCCCACTTGACCATGGTGTATAATCCCTGTAAAATGCTATTGGGGCTGGGCACAGTGGCTCATGCATGTAATCCTAGCACTTTGGGAGGCCGAGGCAGGAGAATTGCTTGAAGCCAAGAGTTTGAGACCAGCCTGAGCAACACAACAAGACCCTCTTCTCTACAAAAGATAGAAAAATTTAGCCAGACATGGTGGCACATACCTGAGGGAGGCTGAGGCAAAAGAATCGCTTGAGTCTAGGAGTTTGTAGTTGCAGTAAGCTATGATGACACCACTGCATTCCAGCCCAAGCAACAGACTGAGATGCTATCTCAAAACAAAACAAAACAAAATGCTGTTGGATTTGGTTTGCTAGTATTTTCTTGGGAATTTTTGCATCTATATTCATAAGGGATATTGGTCTGTAATTTTTTTTTCTTGTAATATCTTTGTGTGCCTTTGGTATCAGGGTAATGCTGGTCTCATAGAATGAGTTGGGAATTATTTCCTCTTATTCTAATTTTTGGAATAGTTTGAGAAGGATTGGTATTAATTCTTTAAATGTTTAGAAGAGTTCACCAGTGAAGCCATTTGGTCTTCAACTTTTCTTTGTTAGGAGTTTTTTGATTACTGATTCCATCTTTTTATTTGTTGTATGTCAGTTCAGATTTTCTATTTCTTCTTGAGTCTGTTCTGGCAATTTTTGTGTTTCTAGGAATTTTTCCATTTCTTCTAAGTTATCCAATTTTTTGGTATACAATTGTTCACAGTATTCTCTTATAATCCTTTTTTATTTCTTTAAGGTTGATGGTAATGTCATCATTTTAGTTTCTAATTTTAGTTATTTGCATTTTCTCTCTTAGTCTAGCTAAACGTTTATTTATTTTGTTGATCTTTTCAAAGAACTAACTTTTGGTTTTGTTGATTTTTATCTATAGTTTTTCTATTCTCTATTTCATTTATTTCTAATTCTTATTTTCTTCTTTATGTGAGCTTTGGGTTTAGTTTGCTCTTATTTTTCTAGCTATTTAAAGTGTCAAGTTAGGTTATTGATTTGAGATCCTTCTTATTTTTAATGCAGGCATTTATAGTTATAAATTTCTCTCTGAGCACTGCTTTTGCTGTATTCCATAAGTTTTGGTATGTTGTGTTTTCATTTTCATTCATCTCAAAGTATTTTCTAATTTCCCTTGTGATTTTTTTTTTTTTACTCTTTGGTTGTTTAAGAGTATGTTGTGTAATTTCCACATATTTGTGAATATTCTAGTTTTGCTTCTGTTATTGATTTCTAGTTTCATTCTACTGTGGTCAAAGAAGATACTTTGCATGATTTCAATCTTTTTAAATTATTGAGGTTTATTTTGTGGTCTAACATCTGGCCTACCTTATGGAATGTTCCATGTGTCCTTGAGAACAATGTATAGTCTGCTGTTGGTGGGTAGAGTGTTCTATAGATATCTGTTAGGTCTAGTTGTGCATGTGGTCTCTGAAATTTTTATTCCTTTAGCTTGCATTCAGTTAGGTTAGTGTTTTAAAAAAGATTTCCTTGAACACCAGGAGCCATAACAAAAAAAAAAAAAAAAAAAAAAAAAAAAGGAAAAAAAGAAAGAAAAAGAAGGAGAAGAAAAGAAAAAAGAAACAAACCTTTTCCAGTCTTTACAGATTAGGTCTGTATTGAGGTACTCCTTCATTGCTTAGCCAGGCTGTTTACAAATCTTAGTCTTTACTTCCTGCTTGTGCTGAACCATTATTAAGTTTCCTTTTTCTTGATTTAGTGTTTGTATGGATGCTATAAATTTTGAATATTTTCCAGAGTTCTGACAAAGTTGATTCTGACAGTTTTTTTGTTTGATTTTTCAATGTTTCTGTGGAGGGTTAGGACCTTGGGGCTACTGACTTCACCATTTTCACTGATGTCACCCCAAGACCCTTATTCTTAGGTTAGAACCCTAAGGGTCATACCTAGGACTAAGACTGAATTAGAAGTAGACTGGCTCTGCAGGCATTGAAGAATAGCTTCGAATGAATGATGTAATTCCTGAAATTGAATTGAGATCATCTCAGATAGCTAGTGCTCTTAGCCACCTGCCAACAGCAAATTTAAATCCTCTGAAAGAAAATAGGCCTGAAATCATTTCTCCAATTTTTCATATACAATTTCCAGAACTCAATACAAATATAACCAGGCACAGGAGGTTATACAACACATGAAAGAAACCTGAGGCAAAGAACAAACAATTGAGAGGGCATTCAGTTAATGGCATTATCAAACTAAGAGTTTAAAATAAATATGCTTAATATGTTCAAGGAGATAAAAGATACATTAATCCACAGAGCCATAATAGAAAAGATTGATAATTTTGACTTCGTAAAAATAAAAATTATATTGTTAAGGGAAGAGTAAAAGGTTTAACACAGTGTACGGTGTGTTTGTAAAAAAAATAAGGATCATGTGAATTTTGATTTTTAAAAATTGAGATAAAATTCATATAACATAAAATTGATCATTTTAACCATTTTAAATTATATAATTCAGCTGTATTTAGTATATTCAAAATGTTGTGTACCTATCACCACAATCTAATTCCAGGACATTTTCATCGTCCCAAACAAAACCTTGTACCCATTAGCAGTTACTCCCATATCCCCCGTCCCCTAGCTCTTGGTAACCGTTAATTTACTTTCTGTCTCTATGGATTTATCTAATCTAAACATTTTATATAAATGGAATCCTACAATATATGTGGCCTTTTATGTCTGGCTTCTTTCTCTTGGCATAATTTTTTCAGAGTTCATCCATGTTGTAGTGTGTACCAGTATTTCATTACTATTTTTAGCTGAATAATATTACTTTGTATGGATATACCACATTGTCTAAGGGATTATATATTTGTACATGCATTTGCATATTCATGTGTGGTTATATTTATTTCTGTTTGCTTGCAAATGCAAAAAATATTTTTGGGAAAGATATTCAAAAGACTTATAACAGTGGCTGTTTCTGGGAACAGGGATTAGAAGACTGAGATCTGAGGAAGAGGGAAAATTCATTTTTATTGTTCTACTCCTATTTACTGTTTAAATTTTTATTTAAGCTAAAAAATGACTTGTTTATCCATTTAAAACTACTTTTTTAAACAACGAAATATCCTTTAATGGTAGTATTTTCTTCCTTCAATGCTTTTAAAAGAATGTGAGTATTTTATTTAAGTGGTTATTTAATGTAAACATTTAGAAATAGAGCAACCATTATCTGAGTCAACTATTTTGAGTATTTAATATTGTAGTTATAAGCATAGCAGTTACAATGCTATTGAAAGATAGGTTTATAAGCAACCACTAATATTACCAAAGTGATTTTGCCAATCTAAAGAGGACTCAGAAAAACTATTTTAATATAAGAATTTTCTGTTGTTGCAATATATTCTCAGTGAATATTTGTTAATTTATCTTTTTATAAAAAACAAAACTGCCTCTCCAAACAGAAGTTACTCTGTTTAGTACTAGAAATGGACCAGAAAAACTACAATGACAAATTAAATTAAGCCAGTGTTGAGAATTAATAGATTAAGTGTGCAAACTGATATAAGCCATTATACAAAAGTATTTTTGTTTGTTTCTTTAAAATGTGGCTAAAGGAAAGTTCATATTTAAATTTTGATTTAAGTTGTGGATTAAATCCATTTAGAATGCTTTTGTGGGTAAAATATGCAATGGTATATTAGGTCTTGGATAAACAGAAGATAAGGGCCTTTCCCTACTAATCAATATCCAGGAACCTATCTCTTTCTTTTTAATTCTCACATTGCTTCAAATCCTATTTCCTGTCTCTTTAAAAAATTATTTAATCATGAAAATTCTCAAAACTTAAATTATATGTTTTGGAGTCTGGGATGGAAAATAATTTTATTATATTAATAGCTATGAAAATGGAATTTCAGGACACCACAAGACAGGAGTGGTCCAAAGGGTTCTACCTATCCTTAATCCCAAACCCAAAAGAATATCTGAACAATATATAGATATGACCCCTCTGTCAGCCTTTAATAATCTAAACCAGTGCTTTCCAATAAAAATGTGAGCCATATACATAATTTAGAACTTTCCAGTAGTCACTTTAAAAAAGTAAAAAAAAATGAAATTAATTTTAATATATTTTAACACAATATATAAAATATAATTTCAATATATAATCATATTAAAATTATTGAGCCATTTTACTTTTTTTTCTCCATACTAAGTCTTTGAAATCCAATGTGAATTTTCTACTTACAGCACATCTCAATTCAGGCTATCCACATTTCAAGTGCTCGATAGCCCCCTGTGGCTAGTGGCTGCCAAATTGGACAGCACAGGTCTAAATAGTCCTGAACTTTAAAGTTGTATTAACATCTGTTAAATTTGTGTGGTAGTCACATCTCTGCTATATTATATTTTGGAGTATGTATTTGGAACATTTTATAATTTTAAAAAGGGAGAATGACACACTACATTAAAAAAAAAAAAGCCCGGGGAGAAAACAGAGTAAATCTGTACAAAACAATGATCTCATCAACACTATAACTGGAGGAGAGCAATGGGATGAATAATCACTTATAGGAGATAATCCAAGTGTTTTATCTGGGTTTGGAATATGTTTTATACTTAGACTCTTATATAAATGTGCTGTTCTGAAAATTCTCAAGACTGTACACCAAATATTGGAACCCACACCTGGGAGGCCTGATTCAGGAGTTTCTTGGGAGTTTGTCTGTCTGCCTCTTGGATCTCTGAGCCCAGCAACACTTAGTTTCCATCCTAGGTAGCAGGACGTCCTAACAAATGCAAAGCAACACCTCTTCAACAGACTGTCTCTACTTTTTCTTTTTCATTCTCACTCTCCTTTTTGTCCTTCTCTTTCATTATTATTATTGTTACTGGAGGTTTTTTTGTCTGCACATTTCCTTAGGACCAGGGAGTGTCCTTCCCTGTCACCCCCCTCCCCACTTCTCTTGAGTTCTAAGAACCAAGGATGATCAGAAATGTTCTACAAATGGATGATATCAGTTAAGAACACGAGAGTATCAATGTCTTAGGAACTAGACATTCATTCAACTATAAATATTTACCGAGGGCTTATTCAATGCCAGACACCAAGCTAGGATAATCTATTTGAGAATAATTTAGAGATTACCCTGAAATACAGCAACATGAAATGTGCTCATATGCTCTACCTTTATAGTTTTCTATACAGTCATGTATTTCTAGTTCATTATATCTGTTCCTCTGCTTCTCCCTCACAGGTACTTCATGCTCATTATGTCTTAGAGGTGCTATTTGAAACCAAAAAAGTTCTGAAGCGAATGGCGAATTTCAATCACGTAAGAACTTCTCGCTACGCAGAGATAACAATCTGCGGTAAGTTTCAGAGCAGAATTGTCAAATTAATATTTAGGAGCCTCTTGGTCCTACATCATTTGCCTAACTTGAAAACTGTGTAAATTGGACTGTGTTAAGGGAAAAATGTTAATATAGAATTATCTATCATGATAATACTGTTCCCCATCTTGTCTTTGTTTTGCATACCAGCTGGCAGGAATTAATTATGTGAGAAATTAAAGAACTCATAGCTTTTTATAAAAGCAGACAGCATTTTAATATGGAAAACTACCCATGGGTGGAATAAGCATTCTTTGCCCTCCATCTAGCTCTCATTATCTTTGTTCCATGTTGCTTTTTCTAGGCGGGCCTCTGCATGCCACTTATGTTGGGAAGAGAAAAGCCCAAGGCAGGGTGGAGATTAAATTCTTCTCTGCTCTTGGCTGCTGTTTTAGATTTTTCCAACTGGTCTCTGCAGCTTTTAGAAGAGTAGGAATGTCCCAGAAATCTGTTTCTTGTTCTTCTAAATAACAAGATTTGAGATTTTGCTATCATATAGGCCAGCCTGGCAGGATATTGCTTCAAGAAACAGTACACATTGAAATTCATCGCAGTTGGTGCTCAGCATGCTTGCAACTGTTTGAGAGCGGGGCGCGTGGAAGGAACAGCAATTCCCTTAACTTCTAATTAAGCCTTTAGGTTACAAAACAGTGATTGTTATTTTCCAAATCAATTCTTAGCCTGTATTTGTCTTACTCTGGCAGGTAGAAGTGGATTTGACAATCTAATTAAACCATGTACATTTCTAGCATCTGATAGTGATGACAAGGACTTGATGTAGCAGTACAGACCTCTCATGACATTCTCTGACTCAGGTTTTTAAAGAGTCTCTAATGGTTCAATTCCAACCTAATCAGGCCACCACATCTCTGACTAGCAGATGATGCATCTGGGCAGTGGAGGTCTTTTATTCAAGGCCTCTTAGATTTACTTTTCATAGAAATAAAGAACTCTGGGTCATGAAGCCCAGGAAGCCATGCCAATCTGTGATGCATATGAGGCCAGAGCCAGGTTTGCTATCAGAGTATAATGTAATAGGCAAAACAGAGAGCGGGATCTGCTCCCATGTGTTGCCAGTATACCTCCTGTTGCCATTGTAGACTTATCCTTGACTTAGAGGATCTGGAAGAAGACATTAATTAATTAGAGGGCATGGAAGCCCTAGAATCCCAAGGTATAAGAACTGAAGGGTTCATACAGAGATGGTCTAGTCTGTCCTTTGCTCTTATTGGTGAAATTAAGGCACAGAGAAAAGCATATTGCCTTCCATTCATTTCTATGTAGTAATTCCCTCCCCACCTAAACTCACCCAGCTAACAATTGGCAGGGTCAGAATTAAAAATCAGGTCTTCTGTATCCCAGGTTAGAGGCAGCTCCATATCTACGATCCCAACTCCCATCATGTACCTGATGGTTTATTTTCTATCATAAGACAAAGACTAGGGAATGGTTTGATTGGACAGTTCGTTCATTTAAAGATCTCCATATCTTAGGCATTTATTTCCAGGCTTTTTCTACCTAGCACTGTTGGTAGAGGGAAAATGACAAGGCCAGTAGGTTTTCTCAACATAGGAATTATTATTTTCTGTTTTTAATAGTCCATTGAACTTTGAAAAATTTGGTGATTATTTAAAACTTAAAATTGGGGTCATATTTTCAAAACCATCTTTCATTTAAGACAGGATTAGGAAAAAAGAGAAATAGTGATGAAAACCATGATTTTAATTTTGAGATAAAACTTTTTACATGCACATCTAAATATGCCTCCTAGTTCTTACTGTGCATGAAAAAAGGAGACTTTAGTCTACAGTTATGTTATAAATGATAACCTATTCTGTACTCATGTTTGTGTTGGCAGTGGAAATATCTTTTGGGGTATCTTGCCATGATACAAGTTTCTCTTATGCTGTCCAACTAAAAATATTTTTGTACCCTCAACTCTTAATATGCTGAAACAAATTCATTGTTTTTTTAGCATACAAGTCTTTGAAAGACAAGTCACCCTGAAGAAAATTAGGAAAATAAAATAATTAAAAATATATATTAAATTAAGTAAAAAGTCCTTCCATCTTTATTTCCTTAGATTAGGAGTGAGACCATATGAAAGCTATGAGATTTAAGCATACAATAGCATTAATATGTTCTTAATCTTATTACTAACATTATAGTTCATATTTTATAAATAAGCGCTGGTGATAAAGGATTTTAATATTATTATTCCCAGTATATTTGAAGTCTTCTGTTGCATATATTTGGCTAACCTTGGCTGTGGTATTTTGAGCAAACTGAGGGAGAGTGTTCCTAAATTAAATTCTATGGTAATTATGTTAGATTCAAAGAATAAAAATTAATGAGCAAAGCTTATGAAAGATATTTTACCTAGAAATAATTATCCAAATAAGGACTTTTGAATATTCACATAGCCTCTCTTATTTTTTAATTAATGGCTTCATATATTCATATGGTTTCCCTTAGTTGGCTTTCATTTTGATTTCCTATGTCTCATCAAAAGAATGCCAGCTGTCTACCCACAATTTTTAAATTTCAGATGCTACTGCTGGAGCATATTTAAAACATGGCTTTAAAAAGCTATGCACTTAGCAAATAAATGTATTTAAGTACCTGCTATGCACCAGGTACTATGGTAGGCACTTGGGGATTCAATGCTGACTGAAATAGATACTGTTGCTGCTGTCCTAGGGCTTACAGTATAGAGGGTACAGAGTAATGGCTAGCAGCTTGAGTTTGGAAGTAAGATAACGTTGGGTTTGAATTCTAGCTCTGACACTTGATGGCTGGGTGACATTATGTAAGTAACTTAACTACTCTAAGCCTTATTTGTAAAATGAGAATGATGAAAATAATACCCATCTCATAAAGCAGTTGTAAGGATTGAACAAGATAATTCATGTAAAACCCTTAGCGCAATGCTTGGCCCAGAGTAAGCCAAGCCCTGTGTAAATGGCCAGAGGGAACAGCTAATTGCATTCTTAGATGCTGTCCCTGCTATAGCAGGGGAAGAAAAGAGTGCTGTAGAAACAAATTGCCTGTCATATTAACATCATCATCATAGGGCAAAAACCCAATGCCCCGAGAACACTTGGAGTCTATCAGCAATATTTCAGTTTCAAAATTCTGTAACAAAGTGGGCATTGCATCTGATTTCCTACTGAACAGTGATTTTTCATTTGCACTACAGGTGATTTGCATGGGAGCTTAGATGATCTTTTTTTGATCTTCTATAAGGTAAGCGATTATTTTGCTAAATATTTGTATTTTGGGGGGGAGAGGCAAGTCTTAGGGCAGATAATAGTATTAATTTTATTAGAGATATATACAAATATAGATGTAATATAGCAGCTTTTATCCAAGAAGCTCCAGGATTTGTAGAGGCATATCTTTAGATTTTTAAAAATACATATCTCATAAAATTTTTTACAAAACTTAATTTGGGTCTTTGTTCTACATTATTGTTATCTGTATATCCATTAGGAGTTGTACCTGACTATACTTACTGTCTTTCTTACATCATAAATATTTAGATGGTATAGGATGGGAAAGGAAATAGTCTGTTTTATTTTATTTTTATTGTGTTCAGAAATGAGCATGTCACATACCAGTCTTTTCTTTCAATGCACACTAATTGTGCATGAAAGGAGTCTCCTATAATAAGTTCCAAGTTGCTTTCTTCTGTCCTATGATTCACCATCTCTGGGCTTGGTTGCTCTTCCCATGCTATGACTCCTCTCCATTTATTGCATTTTGGTTGTGAGATCCAGCACAGAGAATACAAAGCAGCTTGGCCGGCATGGAGCTTCTCCACATTTCCTTGATTGGATTTCTTTCTCTCTCTAAGCCAAGAGTTACAGCTTGAATGTTTACTTCTGGGATGACTGACTGCATATAGAAAACTGATCCTGAGGTCCCTGCCTTTACATTAGTATCTATTTATACTGATCTTCTGAATGTCCCTTTTTGATTAATGTGTTTACTGCCTACCTACGCTGTCATCCCCACAACTAGCATGTCAAGTAATAGGGCATAGCATAGGTGACTCAGATGGGTTGAAAGGAAATATATTCTGATTGTTATGATGACCAATTATTTCCATGCTTTGAGACTATGAGAACTTGAGTGAGCCACAAAACCTCCATGAACCTCAATTTTTTTTTTCTGCTGAAATATTATCTTGAGCTTCCACCCTGTAAGAGGTTTTCTTATAGCTAAAATAACATAAATATCCAAAGGTATATTTTAAAGTAATAAATTACAATAGAGATGCAAGGTTTTCATTTCATTCATTCAGAATGGAGTCTTGGCAGAGAATGGGATAGGTCAAACCAGGAGTGGGTGAATGGAGCTGGCACTTGGGAAGAGATTCCACTGTGACTGCAGGAGGCCTAAGCAAGGATGTAGAACATGATAGCCAGAGAAGGGTCAGAGGAAGTGGGAGGCTGCCCAGGTAGTAGGCAGTCCAGGCAAAGGTTTGCTGGCAGGGAGCTGAGGGTGCTGGTAAAGAGCAATTCTGGATGTCAGCCCTAGAATCCATCCAAGCTAGGTAGGCCAGGATGGGCCAGTCAACTGGAAGAAGTGGGAGGATTCAAGGGTTGAAATGCTGTCTGACTGGGTCAGGGAGCCGGCTGACTAGGCCAAGGGCCTTAGGAAGCAGGATGTGTGGGCACAGTAGGGGGAGTAGTCCTAGGAGATGAGAGGGCCCAAGGTGGGGTCCAGAACATGGGTGGCCAAAGTGAGTGAAAGAGAATATTGGAGATGGGGTGGGCAAGGGCCTGGAAAGCAGGTGTGGTAAATGGGTTGGCCACATGGACTGAGAGATGAGGAGCAGGGGAAGAAAGTCTAGTCAGAGGTCATGGGCCTGAAAGGAGGGTGGCAGAGTATTGGTCTATCAGTGGCTCTGAGAACAAGTAGACTCTCCCCTGCTCTTGACCCTGAGGTATGTGCCCTGGGGAGGAATACTCATTCCTTTGAGAGGGCTGCAGGACTCAGGAGTTCCATAGCGCCCTAAAGGGAGGCCCAGATTTATGGGGAGAAGTCTCTCTGAATGAGTTGAAGGTGGAAGGGAGTTTATTTACCAGGAAATAGGGATGCTACTGGCCACATTGGAAAGCCCTGGAAGGAACGGTGAGAGGAAGCCAAGGAATTGTACAGTTTAGCGAATGGGGTTTGTTTAACTTAGTACATAGCTCCACACCGAATGTTCAGAAAGTTCACTCCTGCTGTTGTTGACAATTACAACCCAAGGAAGGAGAAGGAAGCAGGGGGATCTGGAAAGCAACAACAAAAAATATAGTAATTCTTTCTCTAGAGGCTTTGGGAAAGATATAAAAGGGAAAATAGTTGAGTAAATTACATTGGGAAAGTAGTCACTAAATTCCAAGGCATTTAGAAAAGAAAATTTCTTTAGAGGTAGTTAAAGATATTAAGGTGCGATCAGGGATAGGACTCTGGAGTAGACAGATGAGAAGGGAGAGAATTCCGACATGTTTCTTTAATTTCGTCAGCAAAACTATATGAAGCATATAAAACTGGAAGGTGCTAATGTAAAGATTGAACAGGAGGAGGTGGGTGGTAAGAAGTACTATAAAAAGAACCGAAGGTGAAAATATAGCATTCAAATGGAAGCAAGAAATATTTTGAGAGCTAACCAATGACAATGTTCAGGAAGTGGAGATTGCCAGCCCAGTGATGAAAGAGTAGGGCACTATTATATTTGGGGATGGATTTGGGTAGAGAGAGGTGAGAGAGATGCTCGGAAAACAGAAATATGCAAGAGCCATGAATTAGAATTCTGGCAGGCTTGGGTGGGAAGAAAGTAAAATATATCTTAGATGTGGAGTGAACCACATATACTAGGATCTTGATATTGCCTGGCTTAAGAGGGGAAACTGAGGGAAGAGCCATTGATGACAGCAAGGTATGACAAGATCTCTGAAAAGAGATCTGAGGTACAACATGAAGACTATAGGGAGTAAACTTGTATTGTATTTGGGATTCATGTTAAATGAGTAGATTTTAGCTGCTCTTGCCACAAAAACAAAAAAATGGGTAACTATGTAAGGTGATGGGTATGTTGATTTGCTTCATTCTAGTAACATTTTTACTATCTATCTGTATTCCATAACATCATGTTGTATACCTTAAATATACACAATAACATTTGTTTTTTAAAAAGAAAATAGCAACTATGATCAAGCAGTGGGGGAAAAAGCTGATCAACAGTATCATTAGTATTTTCAACAGTGGTACAGCAAAAACCCCTGAAACTGTATTATTATTTTAGAGAAATGTGTGATGAGTGAATAAAGATGTTACTTTCTCTTATTAAAAAAAGAAGAAGAAGAAGAAAAAGGAAACTGCAAAGGTGCTATAGTTAATGGTATCTGAGAAGGGAGAACGCCATGGTGAACCTGCGATGATGGTGCCGGCTCCCTTAGCTTATGGCAAATGAGTGTCCTAAGTTACAGGCAGTGAAATGAAAGGGCAGGGCACAGAGATGTCTGAGGAAGCTCAGACCATCTGATGATCTCTAACTTGGCAAAGTCAGCATTTTTCCCTTTTCTGTCTCATTTTTTGTCTGCAGTTTAAATACAGAATGCTATTAATAGATTGCACTAGTGCGCTGTGGCCTAGAAGCATGAACTGTTCTGGAAACAGTGTTTCTGTAGGGATACAAATGACAGTAATACCCCACCTATTCAGATGTCAAACTTCAGTCTACTTTCTTTATCTTCACTTATCACTCATATGGTTCCAAACCCGGAATTAAGTAAAAAGGGGCTCTGAGAGCTCGAAATAGTTGTCACAAATCCAATGAACTTTACTCACAGGACAAGCTCTAGGCCCTTACTCAAAGACCAGTGAATGCGTACCAGTAAATCCTCCGCTCACGCAAGTTTACGCTTGTCTGGTTACACCCACAGCAGATTAGGGAGTAGGAGGGGAGGAAGAAAAAGTCAGATGTAATGACAGTGATGAAAAGTAAAAGCTCTTCCTGACAGTAAGAGGAAATACAGAACTATAAAAATGTGATAGGAAATAAAGTAGTGATATTCAGTGATCTGGAGCCTGTGTATTATAGGGAAGAGAGTTCTAGACTTCTCAGAAGGGCCTGAGGGGATGTTTACATTGATGAGGCTGCATGGTCAAGAAAGTTTCAAGTTACACAGTGGGTATATACTCTGTTAAGAAGTAAAGGGAACAAATGGCACATTTTAAAAACTCCCAACCATAATGATTAAAGTAATTTTAAACGTATTTTAGCTTTCAAAATAAGCTTCAGTGATCTGGAAAATTCATTTAAGCAATGCTAACAGTATGAGTGAGTGTCATTATTGGGTCTTAGGTATAAGAGGATGAGAGAAGATGAAAAAAGAGAAAAATTAGTTTGAGAAATGAGTAATGAGCCAGGAAAGTAGATGAGCAAAGAAGGAACATCTCAAATGAGGAGAGAGGTGGGGAGTGGTGGATTTCTCTTTGTGGCATCAGATACAAAGGTTGCCTGCTCAGGGATTACAGCAGGTGCATAACTATCACCTAAGCAATCACTTGATTGCTTCAGGAACTGGTAGAATTTCTGTGATAGTCTTTGATTCTCACTGCAATACTTTGTACTCAATGCATCATCAACTCATGGAATCCCAATTACGTGCTAAGTCTGGTTCATTGATAGGAGCCGTGAGGTTGAGTCACGTTAGTGTAGCCACAGGCTCCCGATCTTCTGTTTAGACGTAGCTAGTGGCCATGCTTTACCTTACCTTTATTTTGTTGTTTTTTTAAGGGAAACAGAACTTGAATTGTGGAGAATAGTTTGGTAAACTACATTCTGTAGGGGATTTGGGGGGCTATAAGTGAGCAGTTTATATTATACTACGACTAAGTGATTTTTCTCTATCAACTCAAAAGAGAAACCAGGAAAACCTCAGGCTTTGAATTAAAGCAAAATTTTAATCCTTCTTTCAATTCGTGTTTTGCTAGATATTTTCTTCCTCATCAATTCTTTTATACCGTATAGCATGAATAGGCTGTAGGGCTGGGGCCGGGGCTGGACCACGGCCAACCAAGGGCACTGCCTGAAAGGAAGTGATATTATGTTGGGTCACTGAGAAACCTCACCATATCACTCTCTTCATTCAAGTGGTTGGTTTTGTTCAAGACTTTCATTATAAGTGACTGTATGTGAAAGTGAATCTGTCCACTATTTTATTCATTCAATAAACTTTTATCTGGTC